TTTAAACGTATGAACACATTGTCAACTGCAAATGAATCCGTTGGGAAAACTGTACTAATGAAACCGGAGGCACTGTTTGTGTGTATTTCGCGGCCAATCAGGGTCTGCCCAAGACTAGCTTGCCAGCAACTGGCACCCGATGCGAACCATGCAATCGGCTCCTCCACCCCCAATCCCCCAAGGCAGATCTAGGCTGAGTTTTTTTTGTAAACTTGAAAACATTTTGCGCGTATTTTCCGTTTCATGTTTTTAAGCGTATTTTTTTTAACGGAGGCATAATGATTCGGTTCGTCCGTCCGTCCGTCTGTCCAAGCAGTGTATCGGAGATCAGATAAAATAGAGAAGCGACATTTTCAGAATAGATTTGTACACGACAGCGAGACGATAATTCAGTCCAATTTACGGCATTTATTTAGCAGTAAATACAATATTTTACATTAATAATTCTCAAAAAAATATTTAATCCATATTCCCTCTGAAATAATGACATCTTCGTTATTTTTTTTATTTGCATCTTTTTCCTCGAATTTGTCGCCCCACTTAACTTGGCGCCCGAGGCGACCGCCTAGCAACCAATGCTGTTCTGCATTCCCAAGTTCAATTACCCAGCAACTGCCCGGTGCAGCACAATGCCCCCTGGTGCCCTCCAGTGGCATTGGTTGAGGTCCCAACGCAGAGAAAAGACCGACCGACCACCCCCTTGCCTCTGTGGCCAATCACCAAATACCACTTCGCAGCTACCACCACCTTTATTTTGACCTTTGTGTTTGGTCATCAAAGTGTTAAAGGTCGTGACCTGGGACTTCATTGCGTCTACAGCGCAGCGCGTCACACATCAGGGAATCACTTCTGTCAGGCCCCCCCCCCCCGAACCCCTTTCTGTCCGCTCCTTTTATCCGCTCCACCGTCCTTTCCGGGAACTTTCCACCAACCCCCTTCGTTTCTCCCAACAGGTCTCCCAAACTTTCACCTCATTTTCCATCACGTTTATTTCCTCCCCCTCTCCCCCCCGGGCTCTTTAAAAATGACCCCGATGACCGAGCTGATGATTTGAATGGGTCCCCAAGCCTTCCAACCACATTGTGTGCCCTACTTCAGCTTCACGGCCTGCGTGACAGCTCCTGGCCAATGAGAGTCAAGCGCACGCCGCGTGTGAACTCACGATCCGTTAGACCTGCTGAGTGTACACACACATATATATATATTAAAGTAATGCTCGCTCCCAAACGAGAAGGCAGCTGTTTGCTCCTGAGAGCTGCCCCTGATCAGCCCACCCGTGCATACACACACTGCCAAATTTGGAATAATTTCAGGAATAATCACTGCCTCAAAAATCGCTGCCTTAAAAGGGGAGGGATCGGCGAGCCAGGAATGTGCTTGTGAGTAGCGCATTGGATACAGCTCAATAAAGGCGAATATTTTTCGTTGGCCGGGGATGGGTTTAAATGGACTTCTATGCTGCGTACTTTCATTGTTAAGCCACCGCGGTGCCCATGGACGCAGCACTTGTGCTATTGCCACTGTGCGTAACGTAATGGTCGGCATGCTGGGTTTGCAATGCGGAGGTTGCCGGCAAGATTTGATCTCCCAACAGTTGGAACGGTGGCACAAGTTTCTTAAATTCCTCACCGACTCTCTCCAACCAGCAGCACGAATGGATTTGAACCTCAGTGAGGCGATCTGTATACCATGCTTTGGTAGGGTAAATTGTGGGAACTCCCACACGTTTCAAGATATGGAAGAGTAGGCCAAAGTACCGTCTCGGGGGGGGGGGGGGTACTGTCTAGAGCTCCCCTTAGCCAGCAGTGGCTTGAGCAGGCAGTTTCGGGGCAGTCCAGTTAAGACAAGAGTTTATCCCTGCACAAATTAAACTAACTTAACTATATGTGATTTTACCAGGTAAGGCCCACTGAGCTACATAGCTATTTTTCAGAAACAGACGAGGCCACATATCAAAGCTCAACAAAGTGGCTTATCATGTGGAAATATTTATATATCTCAGCCAAATAAACTAAGCGCGTGATGAACATTAGTGTGGCACACATCTCTGTCGGTAGCCATGAGCCAGTGATGGGAATTGCACATTCCCATGGCAGGTGTCATTCTCTCTTCAGAAAAACTCAATTTGACTTTCCACTAAGTTGTACATATATTTTTAACCGCAGAGGGATTATGGGTTTTCAGTTTTTTCAGTTGCATTTATTTGGTATAGCCCTGTGAGCCACTCGGCTCTTGAATCGGGTGCAACCGCAACAAACAAAAAACAAAAACATGAACAAGAAAACATCTTAAAGTGACTATGCGCAAACAGAAAAATCCAGGAAAAAACTGCAAAGTGTTCCAGAAAAAAAGCAACATACACCAACGCTGTGTGCAAAAATCCCAGTGGGATGCAAGTCAAACAACACCAACAACCACAAGACAACTTCGATTAAAGCCATCATTCTGACTCCGTACTACAACATACAAACATGGCCAAACCAAACAATCCTGATTGGGAGTAGAACTCCCAGTGAATGATTGCTCTAAGCCACAGCACCACCTAGCACTCCTGTGCAACATTGCAGCATGTTTGTACGTGAGGGGTTGTGGTGGTGGGACTGTTATTTGGCACTGCACTCACTGGGTTTAAATTCCTCATTACGGATGCGCACTGGTGGCAGTTGTTATTTTAGACGTGCACCCCCCTCCTCGGCCTAAACAATCCGCTGCGGTGTTTAGAGATGAACGGCAAAGATACAAAAGTGGCCATATCGGCGCTCATTGACAATACCGTACTCGTCGCGACAATTTAAGGGCAAAGGCGCAGCCCTGAAATGTCCTTCTCACGCCACTGCTGGCAGAAAGGCCTCCACCAGAGGGAGCTCAAGAGAAGGCCGCGAGAGGGTGTTTTTGGCCTACTCTTCCACGCTGACCAGTGAACCTTGGAAGTGGTTGGCGTACCAACACTTTACCCCACCAAACGAGACCTGCCCATGGACTAACCGTGGTTTAACCCATGTACATATACTTCTGCGTGAACAGAGATTGGGGGAGGAGGAAGGGGAGGCGAATTTTAGAAACTTGCACCGTTGTTGAAAACAACTGCCGCGCCAGGAGATGGAATGGAATTGGAATTGGCCGCCTCGGAATTACAAGCCCCATTGTGCTCAACCGTTACACCATTACAACATCCCAACAAGTCCCAACGGGTGAATCAGCAGTTGCTCTGCATTATCTACGTGTACAGGGACCGTTTCGAACCTTTGGGATCTGTGCGCTCTGAGATGTTTTTTTGTCAGCACAATGTGAATGCGAGTCGTACATACGTGGAATAGACGAACGTGCTATGAGTTTTGTTAAGAGGTATTGTTCAGCACGCGTCAGCTTTTGTGACTGTATGATGATTCGTAATTGATGTTCGGTTCAGATTTGCGCGAGTCAAATGTGTGTCGTTATTTTAGCAAATGTCTTGCAGCTTCATTTTGCTATTTGATGCGGGTCATCCGAGTAGAGTACTGAAGGGACTTTGTGTTGATTCAAAGTGAATTACTGTACTGTATTGTCAAGCAAATAATGTATTTCTTTGTGTAATGTCTGCTTCATGTGAGTATTTCATTTATCTTAAAATACTGCAAGAATTGTGTTTGGTTGAAACAAAACATACTATACACGTGTAAAAACGCATTAAATAGCAACGGTTAAGACTTAATGCGTACAGAAAATCACTTGTGCGAGAATTGCTGTTTGTCAATGTATGCAAATTGTGTGAAAGTGATTACGCAAGCGAAAACTACCCTGACTTGGCAGCAGAACAAATGGGAAACAAAAATAAAACGCTGACGATAAAACATATCATTCTGATCACAGTCCCGAAACGCAACAATTAATGGATTCACTGAGGGAGGGAATGATTACACCCCTAATAAATCCTTTATGGTTTAAGTTATTGGTAGGGTGATGCTCAGTTAGCATTATTATACTCTTTGGTTCTTTGGGTAAAGTCACGTAGGTATAAAATAAAATAAATCACGACGTTTCAGGCGCAACACAAGCGTCCATCATCAGGTGGAAAAGCTTTTCCAAAGCTTTTCCAAAGCTTGGATTCCTGCAGTCACGAAAGCTTCAAATCAAGATAGCATTATTATATTATTATATCTTTGAGTATAAAATCCAAGTCAGAGTTCACTCAGCCCATCATCATTATGATTACAATCGTGTCTCTGTAATGGGTAAACTATCACCACCTGGTGAGAAGTCAACAGTGTTTATCCTCTCAATAAACTGGTCCCTACCATAGGAATATGGAATTTACACGATCGGCTCCGGGGTCGTGTGGTGATACCTGCAGTTCAGGTAGGCAGTGAGTTCCACCTTGGGTTTACTCATTGCAGGAGACACGAGCAGGTGATTCATTAAACTAATAGGAAATTTCTACTGGTAAGAACCTCCTGGTTACACCAGCCCACAGGGGATTATTGTGTCCGTCCGTCGTGCATCCAAAAATGGGAGCGGTGGGGCTGGGTGGAGAGGGGAGGGTGGGGAGGGGCTGGGTGGGGAGGGGAGGGTGGGGAGGGGCTGGGTGGAGAGGGTGGGGCTGGGTGGGGAGGGGCTGGTCACCCCGTGGTGCAAAACTCAACGTTTAACCTACTCACGCCGGCTTGTGCCCGCCCTCACAGTCGGCCATATTAGCGGAATACACCACGCCGCCGTTGACCCTGGTCATTGACCGAGCAACTCAACGTTCCTAGTAGCTCCCTCTGCAGGAATGTGTTTTATGCACCAGTGGGTGCTGAGCTGTTGCCAGACCTGCAGCGTCCCAAGAGGACGCGTTAATTCTTTGGCTGGTCAACGCGATGTGGACCTCGCTGCTCAAGCTGACTTGGAGCCACTGCATGTCCCTGACTGGCTCAGGATCGATGTCTACTCATGAGAAGATCTCGGAGATACTGATTTTTCTCTCTAAGTATCGTAATGTCGTAATCGTTGTCGTCCTTTTTCGCTCGCCTTTTTTCTTTCAGAAACCCGAGAGGAGAAAGCCAGGAGGTTGTTTCGACACTACACCGTGGGCTCCTATGACAGCATCGACACAAGGTAAGAATAGGCTGCAGCTTTCGATGATTTGCTGTGAATTCTCCATCGGCAGCATGATGTTGTTGCACAAACAATCTCCGGCTTTTGCTCGGCAGCGAATTTGCATGTATACAGTGCCGTTCCTGGCAGTTGGGATTTAATTGAGGCCGCACCTTTTTTCAAACGGGTGAGTTGGCCCATTAGAAGCTAATTAATTTTCTGCAATTAGCGTTTGGACGAGCGGATAATTTGTGCGAGCAGAGTAGGTTTTTTTTTTAGCAAACGCATTACAAGGTGTTCAACTTGGCACCATGCAATTTATTTTGTGTCTTTAAATGCGACCGAGTCAGCACGTCCCAAGTTACGCGAACTACGATATTTGAAAGGTTGAAATAGTTATCACCATCATCAACCTAGCGTATGAATCTCAGCATCCAACTAGCCATCTCGCAGGATGGGGGCGGTTAGCTGAAGGTAAAGATAAAGGTGCAGCCCTGCAATGTCTTCCTGGTGAGATGGACCTCCACTATTGTAACAGGGGGGAGTGGGAGTTACCCACACTTTACCTCACCCCACGTGACTCGCTGTGGTGCACATATTTACACTGCTGGGTGGACAGAGGCTGGGGGTTGTGGCTGGGTGGGGGTTTGTTTAAGAAGCTTGTTCCATCGTTCAGCTGCCTTGCCGGGAGATTGAACTGTGACCTCTCGACCGCGGGTGCAGTGTGCCGACCACGACACCAGGGCAGCACGTGTAATGATGCGCGTTATTAATCCACTGCTTGCGGCTTTGGCAATCGCCACGTGACCGCGAGTATTTTTTTATTGCCTGGAATGATCGCTGACCTTCATTGATTTAACACATCCAATCAGAAATGAAGCACTTCGCCTGTTAATGTCCCCGGCGGCTCCTTACCAAGTTAAGCGCGGCACAGATCGCATTGTTTTTCTGAGGCACTCGTAAAACGTGCACACTTTAGCGCTACTTGGGCTTAATGATGAAACGAAATGAACGTTGTTCCCATCGAGCAAATTGCATTGTTTTAGCGTTTTACAAAGCCGTACGACGCTGCGTTGCCCACGTTTTATTCCGTGTGTATGTGTGTGTGTCCGCGTGTGGATTCATTTGGTATCCCAACCCTGACAGGGCAGGCACATTGTTAAATCATGACATGTCATTGGCCAAGCGAAGCATGTCCCTTGATGACGTCACCGAGAAAACAAAAGCGGCCTCTTGGGCTCTCCGAGAATTGAGATTCAAGCCACCGATCCGATAACTTAACATTTGTTGCATTAAGACGCTAAATGCTATGTGGCTGGCTGATCCAGAGGGCCTATATTGTTCCTGACAGAGCGCTGATCAAATCCTGGGTTGGATTCTGAGATACCACTGGCGATTAAAATCGACTATATCTGAAGTGTAACGTGACCTCAGCCCAAGTCACCAATGACTGTACAAAAATCATATACGTTTAATGTTTTAACTTGAATCAGCGTAATCAATCTGTGAATTTTTAAATGTACAGTATCCAACATCTTTTAAACGGCATGTATTTCCAATAGATTGTGTGAGTAAAATTCAAATGTGTGTCATACGGCCCTCCTCTACCCAGCACTGCCAAATAAATAAAGTTGTCACGCGAACACGCCTGTCAATTCATGATTGCTTCAGCACCATAGGTGTGTTGGACAGCAATCGGCGATGTCTTAGCAATCGGTACGACGTTTTCACTGGCGGTTACAACCAGCATCATCAGACGATTGCCAACATTTGTGAAAATCTCCCTCCAGTCATGGGCGTTAAATAGGTGTGGTGATGTCATCAGAATGCCTCCCCTCTCAAGCGAGCAGGGAGTATCAGGAGTTATGCCTAGAGGGGCATGTATTAGCATAAATTATAATATGTAACGTTTGATTTGAATATAATTTGTTCCAAATTCATATCAGGAAAGAAAAGCACGTTGAATTTACTAAAATGTAGTTCTTTCACATTGTCTGGCACCATTCCCTGACAATATGTGAACATAGAATGCTCAATCTCGTAACATCATTCCAAATTCACAATCAGCGTAGCGTCAGCGATAAATCCCAAAATAATAATTGTAAATATAAAAAGAGGGGCAGCAGGGGGGGGGGGTGTGAAATTGACAAATATATTTCACGCTTGAATATAGCCAGGCCAAATGTGTGACAACTGGACATTGCTTATAATACGGAGTGCCAGGCCTATTTATCAGCGATGTTAAATTACGTAAAAGCCAAGCTGCTTTGCGGAGGGGGGTGGTGGCTGATGCTGGGAAATAATTATGGGAAAAAATATAGAAAGCCCAAGCTTGCAATGAACCAGTGGGGAACACCTGCAGAGGCTGTCAGAACGGTCGTGTTGATGATGATTAATCGGCTGAAATTTAATTTGTTTTTTTGGGGGGGGGGGTATGGGTGAAACTCCATGCTCACCGCGCCAGACACTGTTTCCTTGGGCACGTGATGAATAGCAGATTGCCCCCCCCCCCCACCCGCTGTTATCTTCGCGTGACACATTTACATTGTGGCATTGTGGGTTCAAATCCTCACGTCGCAAAAATGAGCAAAACCAATAACAAAAGCACACACGTCGATCATAGGAACATCTTAAGACAACGTATAAGGTGCTCAATTTCTATTCTGCTCTCTCTTTTGTGCGTCTATGAATACGTGGGTGAATGTGGGTGATTTGTTGAGTGCTGCTGATGAGTTTCAAAGAGCACGAAGCTAATCCGCACGCATCTTATGCAATTGATTGAAAACGAATTTAGTTAGAACTCCTTCATGTGTTTAGTTGTCCTTCCTACGCACCACCGATTAGCACGGTTGGCTACATACGGTGCTCTTCAAAATATGTACCTTGACGACCTTTTTATAGGTTCTGTGTTTAACATTATGGCGTCCAGGTGTTTGCATAAGCAAGGCACTCAGTGCACAATTAGAAGGTTTTGAGTTCAAGTCCCAGTTGCGGGCGTCAGTTCAGCCAATCATATCTATGGGGTCGATAAAAAAAAACATTCTCTCGAGAGTTCCCTCTAGTGGAGGGCCCTTAGCCACCAGTGGCTTGAGCAAACAATTTCAGGGCAGCACCTTTAACTTTACTTCGACATGTCAAGTCAAGACAGAGAATTCTTCTTGCTCAAATCAACATTGGGTGGTACCCAGCTCTGCGGGATGGTCACAAGCCAGTGGCTGAAATTCCACATTCCTATGGCTGGTACTTTCCATAAAGTGTTATGGCGAATGTGCCTGCCCTGTCAGTTTGGGATACCAAAATAACTCACACGCACACACATTTTATTCAGTTTTTGTGTGTGTATGAATATTCGAGTACATGCGAGTGATTTGCTGTAGTGCAAGCTAGTCCGCATGCATCTCACTCAATTGCTCATAGAACATTGTACACTAATGACCTTTTTATAACACTTCATGGGATTTACCAACCGCTGGCTCGTGGCATTTGCTTATTTTAGCCTGATGAATAAACATATAGCCTTGCTTACACAGAACATGTCAACTTCAATACTGTATATAAAAAAAAACCTAATTCAGACGATGCAGTGTACAGCCAGGCGTGTGTGAAATGCGGATGGGTGATGTATAAGCCGTGGGCCATTTGTGCTGAGTAAGCAGGGTCAGGCCTCGTGGGAGCTGGGGAGAGTGTGAGAGTGAGGTGGGGTGGGGGATACTCTTGGGGCTGTATATGGGGGGGGGTGGTGCTCGTGGGGGCCTCGGGATTGTGCAGAGGTCTCACAGCGGTGGCTGCTGTGCTGTGCGCGCGCTCGCTGGTGTTGCCATGACGGTGGTTGGCTGCAACCAAAACGGCACGGATTCTGTCACTGTGGACAGGCTGTTTGACTTTAATGCATGCTCGTCTGCCAGCCAAATCATTGCTTTGTGAACGCAGCCATCTGTACAATCCAGCGGGCACGTAAAAGGTGCAGCCCTGGAACTGCGTTGCGCACGCCACTGTTGGCGGAAGGGCATCCACTGGAATCCTGCTCTAGGGAGCCCCTCTAAGTGGGTTCTGTAGTTGTGGACAACTCTTCCACGCTGACCAGACATCTTGAAAGAAACCCGAAGTACTTTGTACTCCTATCGTGTTGTTGTAATGTTTCATACCCGCTCCTACTGGACATCTATGACAAAGAGCTGCATAGCTCGTCAGATTTCTCCAGAAGTGGATTGGAAAAAGGGCTGTGAGTTAACTTACAGGGAAGCTGTTTACATGGGAAAGTGGCCGTATGATCATTGTGCTACGATCCTATCCTGACAGGTATACCGGCAGTGGAAAGTGACGTCTCAGCCTGTCCTGAGTCTCTCCTCGCTCGACGCAGCCAAAAAATAAGAATCAAGTTGGGTTGTATTAACATAAACATTGAGAGGTCAAAAGGTGGCTTGGGCATGCGTGTTGGTCACACAACTTCCTCGTCTGCCTTTCCTAACCAACATTAATTAGTCGATCTTTGCTCTTGTGCATGAATGTACGTGTGTGTGCAATGTGCAGGGACTCTTCTCACGAACGAGTTACGTTCCAGAGGTCTATTCGTTAGTCGATTTGGTCGTAAGTCCAACTTTACCCCTGTCGATTTCGAACGTTGTACGGCATGTACACTAAACACGGGGAATGACTTTAAAAGTTGTATAATCTCCTGTAGATATAGCTACAGCTGTGTCTATGTACTGCATCTATACCAGGGTTTTCCAAACTCCAGTCCTCGCGACACACCACCAAGCTCCACCTTTCCACGTTTACCAATTTACGAATTCACTCTGTTCCACACTGCACTTGCCCGATGATTGTTAAACACGTCCTAAGTGGTTGTCGCGCGAAACAATCAACGCTGTCCGCTTCACGTGGAACACGTGTGTGTCTCATGGGGAGTGGCGGTACAGCGATGAGCGCTTAGCGCTATGAACCCGGCATCCCAAGTTTGATTCCCGCTCACGGCCAACACCAGTGACGATTATCTGAACTGGTCCTGGGCCCTCTCCTAG